ATTCAGTAAAAATAAAAAGTTATAAAAATATATTAGTGAAAAAGAGATGTTGAAATTTATTACATATAAGCTTCACAACAACTCCGCTCTATCCTTCCTCTCAGTAAAAAAAAGAAACAAGTAAGATAAAAATGCCTAGATAAACCGCAATGTGCAAAGTGCAACTGCTTTATCACTCTGTTTCACACATGATAATATTTACCGTACATACATTTTTTTTCTCTATGCTACAACAGCCGGTACACAGGACAATTAATGGCGGCGAAACGACTTTATTGCTTGGGCAGTACTTCGAGGTAGCCCACCGATAAATGACATTCGCGAAATGCTTAATTAATATCTGGGTCACAAGACGGGGAGCGGCTTTAATTATCCGTGGCTACGGGCGGACCAATGATAAATAAGTGTCTTATTTTGTATGCTAGGCTTGAATCTCACGGCATCCCTCCTTTCAAGCCTGGTCGAGGCACTTTGCCAAGAAGAAACTTACGAGTTCTCAAAAATAAAAAAAAAAAATAGACAGAATATTGATGTTACATATGGAATCTCGTGCGATAAAAAAACTTTGTTCATATCGCTATTATTAAAATTATTGATGCATAAATTGCAAAATTCCGACAAGTCAATTTTAAAAAAAGAAGTGTTATGCCTATGTTAAGTATTTTTCTGAACGATCACGTCATGCCAGACAAATATGAAAAAAAAATAATTTGCTTTTCTTTGTGTGTGCACTAAATTCAAAATATAAATTTGAATAAGTCACGTAAGCCTATTGGAAGAAGTGAAAGCAGTATTACGTAAGCCAAAAGAACCAGCCAGTCGCAAGATGGTAGATTTGGAAATCAAGATTCCGACTTGATGGATGTGACTTCGGGGATGAATGTGGGAGTGGCAAGAGGGTGCGCTGGTAACGCGCCTTAAATCTAACTCGTAGAACTCTCTGATACGTGCGTTCCTGGCGTTCCTATACGCTCACACACGGAAAACCCTCGGCAAAAGATTCCTTTTTTCTCGACCAATCGCCATGCGACTTTTCAGACATGCGTGTTACCGTAACTACACATGTGTCAATATATGCATAAATATAATAAACATAATTCAAGATACATCAAGCAAATTTAAAAATTCTACGTTACTTCGGTCCTTCACATTTCGTGAATCTACTGCGCGCGTTAAGATTATATGTAAAATATTAAACACATGTAGATATATTTTATAATACTTATATTTGTTTTCTTCATAAAAAAAAAAGCATTATATCATATTACAAATTAACTGTCGCACAATTTCAGAAAAGTTCAGATATCATATTTTTATATATATAGTAATATAACTTGAAGAATAATGAAAAATCTAAAAAGAAATATTAAACTATAAATAACATTATAATATTCTTATATTCGAATGCCAGACTTTTGAGGCGCCCTGTAAGGGTGGTACTAGCGCCTATAGCTATTCTCCGAAACTTTCCGAATAAGATGACGCGGAACCCAACCTAACCCTGAGAGAGTAAATCGAGGCGTATGCTAAAATGGAACTGTACAAAGTACCATTTCATAAATCTTGCCCGAGAAAAGCGTGCGTCGCGGAAAAGGGCGAGAAAGGGAAGAAAGCTGTTGATAGATGAGGAATACTCTTGTTAAAAGAGGGACCGGCAAGGAGCGTCGCGAGACAAGGCGGTCAGGCATTATTTCAACGCTGCTGCATGATATTATAAACCAGACAATGATGCTTCTATCTCCCTCTAATATGGGATATGGATATGAAACTTTAAATACATAAATCTTTTGTAAAAATATGTCATAAATATCGCTATTTTTAATTTTTGTTTTATTACATTTACGGAATATTATGTAAAAATTAAACTTTTTTTACTATAAAATACAATGATCTCCAATGGTTCAAAAAATCAATTACCCGAATGTTTTCCTTAATTAATTTCAGATAACAAAATTTTATAAAAAATAAAAATTAAGATTATGTTCTATAATAACTATTATAATTTGTAAAATATATTTATACTTGAGAGAATAAACAGGAGAAAATCAAGTTATTTATAAAATAATAAATTCACACAAATTTTGCTATGTAAAAAAATAATAATGAAAATGCTTTGTTCACAACGCACCTGATTAACATAAACTTTTAATACGCAACCGAAGGAATTGCTCCGCCGTCGTTTACGTATAAGTAAGCGTGCGTTGACTGGGTATTGCGAGGAGGGTAAAACGGCGGAAGAAAAAGGGATGAGGGAACAATATATCAGGAGAAGTTGGCAGAAGGGCGGAGGCTTCTGCGAGAAAGTGGCGAGCTTCGTCGGCCCCGTTTCTTTTTACTCCGAAGCCAAGGAGAATCCCAAATAATCCGCCTGCAAGGATTATCCCATCCCTCGCTGATGCCCCTGTTTCATATAACTTCGAATATCGTGAACTCTCCGTCACGTCGGAATAATTCGATCTCACCTTAAAACAAATTTCTGCGTGTCTCATCAAAACATAACTCTGTTACAAAAATATTTATAAAAAATACTTGTATTTAAGAAACAGATAGGTAACAATAGGTAACATTTAGATAAAAAGATAAAAAAAGATTCAAGAGGAATCTGAAAGAGAAACCAAATTTTTAAATAAGAAGTATTATTCATAAATAAGAAGTATTATACATAAAAGTGTCTCTTTTTGAATTTGTTATCAATAAAATTAAGTGTGCAATACTTTTAACGACAATATAAGTGAGTTATTATATTTTCTAGCTCTCTTGTCCAATCATACCTTTTCTTAAATTATTCTTTATTATTCTTCGGATACTACTAAAATCTATATAACTGTAAAACACTAGAAACGTTATATGCTGTTACAGTTTTCTCTTCAATTATTATATTCAAACTTATTGACGTCCATGGGTATCATGGTCAATTAGTCAATGTCGTTCTACAGGAAGCCTCAGTGTCGCCACTGCCCAGAAGACCAGCAACCCATCTTGACCGCCGATATTCAGCAGCCATCCATTACGTGCCGGAGGATAGGAGGAGAAACGGACATTAGGAGGTACGTATCGCGGAAAGTATATGCCTCGCACTAAAGTACGATAAATTTATCCGCGCGACGTTAACAAATGACGGAGTGGTTAATGGAGGATGGGCGGCACTAAACGTGCCGACGATGGTGTAATAATACAGCAATAATCGCGCAGCATACGCACGGCAATAATTATGAAAAGGCCATTATCGATTTGATGTAAGATTTAAAATAATCATCGTGTTATAGATCGAAGACAGAATGTGTTATTTTATGGCGAAGCATAAACATTTTCTGACTTATCTTATCTCTTCGAGTCGCGAGTTTTTCCATACTATGTGACGGAACAGTCATCAGAGGTGCATCAGCAAACGATCATTATATAATTAAAAAAAATCTGTAAATTACCGCCTGCATTCTATTACATTCTTGTTAGCCTTGTTTAACTTATTTCGTAAATACATACTAAAAAGCAATGAAATACACGTTACAGCAATGATGACTAAGTTTCGACTAAATTTCTAATTATGTTAATAATTATTTATTGATTCATAGCTGCTTCGAATAATCATCATGAAACGAAAGATATCATTTTCAATGTCCCGCTAACATTGACTTTGGTTTAACTAGGTTTTTATTTTTTTTTTTTAGAATCACAATTAAAAAAAGATAAGGAGTATTATAAAATAGTAAATGCGATTTTACATAAAATATAAAATTTTTTTCAACTATTCCATCTGAACTTAATTCGTTCTAACATCCTCTGTTGAATCTTAGTTTCGGAATTTTTATGCAATTGATTTTTCAGCAGCGATGACCCGTTTAAGATCGTCTTTCGGATGGCGAGAGCCACCCCTGGCACGTTCCTTCTGTCCCATTCTCATGCCGACACTCCCTTTATCGATCCCACTCCAGTCTCTCCCTCACTCCTGTCCCTCTGATCTCGCTCTCATTCTTCTTCTCCCCTTTCTTTCTCTTCGCTCTTTCTCGCACTCTACCTTTCTTTCTTTCTCTTTCCGCCACCTCCGCTCCTCAGCACCCAGTACCTCCGGGGAAACCCTAGAGAACCGCTTCCGTTCCCCGTCATCCTCCTCTTTGGCGCCAACCGCCACCACCCGCGTCTATAAACTCGACCAACCAGGAAGCACGTATCTGCCCTTTCGAATTATCCGGCTGGCTTGCCGCCCTTTGTTGCACGCGGAATTTCGTTTAATTAAAATGAGACTATGGGGACTCCACGTCGTCGTCACGGCACGAAGACCGTGGATCTTTAATAAGAATTTTGACTGAAAGATACTGTCTTTCTGAACGTTATTTCTATAAAATTCTTCAAACGTCATTATTATAGCAAATTCTATATAAAATTTTTCAAACGTCAGAATTATTATAGCAAAAGATGACTAGAGGTAATGACAACATCTTAGAAAATTGACAAGACATAACAATTTGGTTGCATAATTCTATGCCGAATATATGTATAATTTTATAAGTTTTTTAAGTTTTTACAGACAAGAAAGAAACGCGATGTACTAGAAAATTACAAATTTCGATATTGGATTTTAATATTAATTTATTTTCAATACAAATTTCATAATATGCGAAATAATATTTACGTTATTACGTTATACGCAGAAAAGTATATATACCTCGAGCAACATTAATTATTCGTAATAGACAAACAACTTAATAAGAATGCATCATACAAATATGGCGGAGTAGGATTGTAAGAGACGAAGTTTATAGATGTCAGTAGCGGATAACGTTCAAATACATTTACATGCAATGTAAAACAGAATACATTTATGATATAATAAACAAAAACAAAACGAGAAACTAACAGTATGTAAAGTTAAACATTCAGGAAAAAATCGTAAAATTAAACAACAAATCTATAAAAGAATATTGCACTTGAGGTCACAATTGATGCAATTGATATTGTTAACTGTTTCCAATTATATAATCAAAACGTTGTAATAATCTTACTATTTTTGTTACGTTTGTGAAATGTGTTCGTTTAATTACACACACACTGAATTGCAATGTTGAAAGGCGTAAAATGGCGTGAAATGGCCGTATATAGGAAAAAATGCATCGTTCGTGGTGGGGCTGAACAACTGGAAAGAGTAGTTCACGTTTAATGACGCTATTGAGATGAAGCTTAATTAACAGTGTGTTAAACGCTCTGTTCATTGCTATCATTTCCTCCGATGGATGCTATTTGCACACTTTGCTTCTCTCTTTTGCTATTATACACGTATATTAAAATATACTTCAATATACTGAAATATTTTAAAATAAACAAATATTCACACACACACGAGTATATTATTTAAAAAAAAAATCCCACATCATCTGTATTATTTGAAATATTATATTTTAATCTACATATGTTGTACTACATTATTACAGTTAACAACGGGAACGATTTCTCATAAAATATATGATATATGAAATATAATCGTAAATCAGCCAGAAAAGCACGAAAATAGCTTTGTAACACGCCATGTTCACCTCCATATAGAATGAAAAATGCTAGTATTTAAAAAAAGATCTGTTTTTAACAAATATCTCGTCGTATTATCAGTAAAGCGATATTTGAATAAAGTAAAGTAAAATTACGCGATACCGATAAGATCATCAGCGAATTCCGGGAAGACCGTTGCTCTTTACACGTCACGTAACGTGCGCTTTGGTCGCGGTACGAAACAAAGACAAAAAGAAATCCTATCTTTCACTGTCAAACCCGGTATCGTCGTAAGGGTACCTTCACACTTCGTTGTCGTCGTGAAAGAATCGCGCTCAACGACACGGATGGACCTCACGAGAGTGAGGCGATTGGCCCATCGACTCGCGGGGCTTACACTGCTCACTTATACGTGACGCGTATCTCATCCTGAAAACTGACCCAATCGGTTTTGCGTTATTACTGAGCGCCGATCAAGATTCGAAACGTCCCAGACGAGCTGAGCGTAGCTCCCCTGCTGAATACGGAGCGACAGCGAGAACAGAAGAGAAGAGACAGGGAGAGAGGATTGCGAGGCGTCGCGGCGCTGGTCGGCACTAGACTTGGCGTCGGTTCGTTCGTTAGCTGGACCCTCTTGCTCGCCTGTATTAATTTGCTTCCTCCTCCCCTCGCGCGTCACCCTGCGGCGGTCCCTTCCTCGGCCATCCCCCCCTCGCTCGCGAAAAGGGGAGTTTGGGGTCGCCCCCGGTCTTAGCTGCTGCCGCTGCTACGAGAAGCTAGAGAGACGGCGCATGCGGACTCTGTTAATCACCCTCGTCGTCCTCTACGCTCCCGAAGAGAACCCCCTCCCTCTGTTGGAATCGCCCACCAATGTACGCGATAAACGCGAGAGCCACCAGAAAATTAATCGACAACATGAACTACTACCGTATTCCAAACTACTTTGACTTTGTTTCTCACGACCATGACCTTCTTCGATGTGAACAATTACAGAGCACGCATAAGGGTGTCTTCATTGGACTCCTATCGCCGTAAATTAATTTATGAACAGGTTCATCCTATCGTGGATTATCAATTTACACAACAAGTTCCTCTAATTAAATCGGAAATGAGAGGAATCAAATTCAAAACTCGCAGAAAATAATAAAAACTATTAAGATGACGAGTAGCTTGTAAACAAGTAAACTATAAAATTAGCAATTTTTTATAAACTTATTTTCTTTTGTATTTCTTTGTATTTCTTTCTTGTTATAAAAAAGTTACTCCTTTTGCTTATAAATATTTAATATTGTAACTTAAAGAATAATTAATTAAAATAACTAATTTTTATACATAAAAATATTTATTATATTTAATAGAAAATTATAATATTTAAATATAAATTTTCAAAAATCTGATATTATAATAATTCTTCCTCTATTTTATTACTAAATACTGCATATTAGATTAAATCATCAATATATAAATTTTCAATATATAAATTAAAGCAATAATGTTAGGATAATTGATAAACAATTATGACATGTATTTATTTATTATAACATAAATAAAGTATGCCTAAAAAGAATATTTCAATTTATTGAGTGACATATAGGATTATATCATTGAGAGAAGGGTTGATAACAAGATAACATCGTTTCTGTGAGGAGTGAAGATGGTGGTAATGAAGATAGAAAACAAGATATTGGAAAATCGTGTGAAGGGTTGAAACGACGTGGGTAACTTCGATCAACCAATCGACGACATGGGGTGGAAGGAGATCAGCAATTTTTCGCCTCATTGCTCGTAGAAAGAAAACGCTTCATTGTATAGCCCTAAAGCATTCGCGAACTTATGTCTGTCGGTCACTGGCTTCGAAGGCTTTGCGTCAGTTCGTCGTAGATGTTGATTAATATTTATATTAATCTTTTATAGAATTAATTTTCTGGGAATAAAAATCAATATCGATATTATTTTGCAACTACTTTGTGTGTCACAAATTCCCGTGAAGAAAAAAAAATCAACATTTCTTATAAGCATAATAGTTGATTAATGACACTTTCAATTATTTTCTAAAATATTTTTCTCATAAAAATTCTCATAAAAAAATTCTCGCAGCACAAAAATAAATTCATAGTCTATAGAATTCGTAGTATATATAAATTCGTATTCTATAAAATTCTATATCTCATATAGAATTTTTGGTTTGATTATTTTCAAATTTATTAATGATATAATTATATGCCAGTATATTAACGTACGGCACTCATAGTTTTATTTTAAAAATGAAGAAACGAAAAAGGAAGAAGAGAAGAAGACCGATTATTACGATTCGAGTTCAAAAAGTCCCAACGACTGAGAGCGCAGCATAATCACGAGTATAAAACAGCGAAACGCTTAGCATAGTAACATCCCGACGCGGGCGTCATTACTGTATTGATCGTGGAGGTAGTTTCTCTCGCTCCTTTCCTCCCGTTATCCCTCTCCGCATCGGGGAGGATCAGAATCCAGAGGTGGGGATGAATCAGGGAGGCGCAGTATCATGGAGAGGGTTGAAAGTAGGACAACGAACTTCTCGATGTGATCATTCTCAGATCAAAGTGTTTGTCAAGGCAGAAGAATCATAAAATTAGAAGCAAGGAGATCTTTTTCTCTGACTGCATGTAAGAAAATTTGAAATTCATTAGTAATCGTCGTCGCTTATCCAACAATTAAAATACATTTCAAACAAGATACAAGAGATATTGGATATTGCTTGCAACTTTTTACCTTTCATATATATATATATATAAAACTAATTACGTTTTATCCTTATGAAGTTTTACTCTACTGTGTGTATCTCGATTTCATTGCTAAATTTCTCTGAATTATTCTTTTAGTTGAAAACATATGATTTTTTTCAAAAGTCATTAGATTAGTTGACGTTTTAATAACGTCAATTAATCTAATTTATTATTAAAAGAAAAATTTTTTATTTTCCTTTAGAAGCTGCATGTTATTAAATTTGGAGAAGTATTCGATTATTGCGCGAATGGTTACGCGAGTTCTTGCACTGATTCGACGAGATGACATTGACCTCAACGTGACGTCAGGCAAAGTTCGAAGATCCTTCCTTCTCCTCTTACCATTCCTCACTGATGGTCCAATACCCGTTGCAGGACCGGTTTGGTAAGCGTCAACTTTCTTGCCGAGGGGCAAGAAACAGCTGAATCACCATGACTCCGATCCTTCAACTCAAAGATCGAGGAATGGGCAACTCTATTGACGTGTTGAAAATTTTACATGAACATTTATTAAAAATAAATTAATGCGCGCGAAAAAAATGTTACTGCCTTAAATTATACATAGAAATTATAATATGTTAATGTACCTCAAAGTTTTAATAAAGTTGCCGAACGTATCTATTGATAAAATTATTATTGACTTTCATTAAAATCATATAATCTAGAAATAGATAAATTTATGTAAAATTATTATAAAATAATAAAAATGTATAGAAAAAAATAGAAAACAAATTTTATTACATATACTTATAGAAAACATTAAGCTAATATTAAGATTATGATAATAAGAAGATGATGATAGTAAAAAAAATGAAAAATGAAATAAGAAAAAAATCTCTTCGCATTCAGATTGTGTTAATATATATCTGTTTCAATATAGATTGAGTGATTATAGATGAATAATCTGATATTTTAATTTTTTAAAAACGTCATAATATGTCGTCATAAAAAATTATGTGAATTTTGTTTTATTTATCTATAAGATATTTATAGATACTCTGTATATTATAACGATATGGTTTGTTTGTTTATGCAATAATTATTTTCTGGAATCTAATAATCAATATTGAACAACTTATTATGAAATAATATTATTATTGTTTCTAGCAGATGAATTTTTAATATCCAAATTATGTACGTAAAAGATCTTGCGGGCACATTGATTATTACGATAGATTTAAATAATAGAACATTCCTTCATGCTTAATTATTGATTAATTGCTGATTGTCATTTTGAAAAACACATGTCACAAATAAATCAAATTTGTTTTACGCAATTATTATGAAACTGACAGTTGTCACAAACAATTGTTTTTAAATAAAGTAGAGATAATATCTAATTCATCAATTAAAATCTGAACATTCATTTATCAATTCATTTATCATTATTAATTAATATTATTGCATATACATTACAGAATATTTTTAAGCTTATTGATTATTTTCTTTTTTCAATTAGCAATTATATTGTGTTTGCGTTCGTATTTTATTCGTATTCGTATTCGTATTTTACAGCAAATAAGAAAAAGAGAAGATAATTATCAAGAAAGAAGACTTGAAATATTTCCGATGCTCATGTATGATAAAAAAAAATGTATCAATTATAAATATTTCAAAACCGACAGGATAAATAAACGGAAGACAGTTGAAATGATATCATTTATAGCAATCTTTTCTAAGTTCCTGCATTCACAACTATATAATTTAAATAGCGCCTCTTTAAAATAAATAATAAAATTTTCTAAAAACATTTATTTAAATTCTTTAAAATTCTTAAAAAGTTTTCGCGATACCAATATAATTTCTAACATCTCCAATTTACAAACTTATTTACAAGTTTTTGTAACAATCGTAGTTATAATTTTATATATTGAATAATAAATCAAATTTTCTACAAAATGTTTATCAAAATATTTAAACATCAATAAACGCGATACAATTCTAATCTTAAACTTAACTAATAATATATCAATAATAATTAGAAATCTCTCGAATAATCATTCATTTCAAATGATGTTATTTCAAATCGTTATTATTTGAAAGCAATTATTATCTTGATATTCATTTGTTATACTCAATTTATTTTTTTATTTTATGTGGCCGTATTTTACAAAACATACACACACAGCTGTATTCAGATTACATTGCACACGATGTGATTCACATAACTCACTGCTTTGTAATCTTTTTGCTACAAAGTCTCGTAAACTTTTTCTGCTCATCGTATCCCATTAGTAATAATTAAATAAATAAAACACATCAAAAAGAAATCACTTTTGTTCTTAACTTTCTTTTATTAAATTTAATTTCGTGCAAAGCTTCATTACTTAGCACAATAAATTTCTAAATCTATATCTCGTCTTTTATAGTTCATAAAAATTATCAAAAATTATATACATTTGACCAATTAAAATTTGATTAAAAATTTCACAATAATCAACATGATCTATCAATCTATAATACAATATTCTTATTGATTCATTAAGTTTTTATTTTCGTTTGATCCACCTCGACATACTTCTACATCTATCAATCAGTATAACGATTTCATAAATGTCGCGTCCCTATCAAAGCAAGAAACTCGATTCATCCATACTGAACAGAAGTCCTCTGATAAATTAAATCGAGAAAAACTTGAATGGATACTCAGTCGCTCGACATATTAACGTATGGCCAGTGTCATTGATAAATTCTAAATGGATACACGATATAATCGAATAGCTACCGTATACGTAAAATGTGCATTGTGAGTGTCTTCAGATATTGGGAAATAAATTAACTCATGGGACATCAGCAAATTCATAAGATAAAATGATTCAGCAAATGTCTACCTATTGGAATATTGTATGGATACATACGTACTTAAAATTAAGTAAACTTAAATGTTTTTGTAAAATTTAAATATATTTACTAATTATT